GCCCTGTGTTGCCATTGACGGCTGCTACTTCCTCTGCGGTGCTGATGGCAAGCCTGTGAACAACAGCCCTACCACTACTGCTAAGCCCGCCGAAACCAGCGCTGCTTGCCCTGCTCCTGGCTCAACCGACGACCAGGGCCGATATAGCTGCAACCCTGCCCACCAGTATCCCAACGGCCAGACCTGTGTTGCCATTGACGGCTGCTACTTCCTCTGCGGTGCTGATGGCAAGCCTGTGAACAACAGCCCTACCACTACTGCTAAGCCCGCCGAAACCAGCGCTGCTTGCCCTGCTCCTGGCTCAACCGACAGCCAGGGCCGATATAGCTGCAACCCTGCCCACCAGTATCCCAACGGCCAGACCTGCGTTGCCATCAACGGCTGCTACTTCCTCTGCGGTGCTGATGGCAAGCCTGTCGATAACAAGCCCTCTGGGTCTGCCCAGCCTCCTCAGCCTACCGCTGCTTGCCCTGCTCCCGGCTCGACTGACAGCCAGGGCCGATATAGCTGCAACCCTGCCCACCAGTATCCCAACGGCCAGACTTGCACCGTTATTGACGGCTGCTACTTCCTCTGTGGTACTGACGGCAAGCCTGTCGATAACAAGCCCTCTGGTTCTGCCCAGCCTCCTCAGCCTACTGCTGCCTGCCCTGCTTCTGGCTCGACCGACAGCCAGGGTCGGTACAGCTGCAACCCTGCTCACCAGTATCCCAACGGTCAGACTTGCACCGTCATTGACGGCTGCTACTACTTGACCTCTGGTGGCAAGCCCGTCAACAACAACAACGGCACCACTACTACCCAGCCTCCCGTTGTCGCCGGTGCCTCTTCTCTGCAGGCCGCTGGTGCTCTGGTCCTGGCTGCCTTTGTTCTCCTCCTGTAAAGGAGTGTATTTCTTCCAAATGACTGCACATGTGGGGTAGTATTATGCTTTGAATGCATTATATGGGGTTGAAGGGAAAATCGAAATGCTTAAGCTGTATGTGCAAAAGCAATCAGGATCAATAATAGTCATACATGGGTATTTGCCTTTTCAAGACTTGCCTAGTGAATTTGAAGTTGTAACGCTGGTATTGTGACTGTAGAGTCGTCCGAGTACTCACTGTATACTTCCGTCGGAAGGCGGAGATTTGCTTTCCATTTCGGCAATTTTGCAACTAGACCTTATTAGTGATCACTGCTATGAAAATCTAAAGGCAGGCTACCCCGGCTTGAGACTTGAGAGTAGGCATGGCTGTTAGCGGATGTAACGCTTGCCGCGGCAGCCGTAGCGAGATCAAGGGGGCTGGATGCTTGCAGGGATACCTGGAAAGGGATTTTTCGCAGTCTCTTCGGCTGAATACAACAAGACGGCGTGTGGATCATAGAAAGCTCTCGTACAGTGGGAGTTTGTAGTGATCCCAGACGAATTAAAGTTGCGTTGACCAAGGGAGGTATAATGTTAGGGTGCCAGCGAGGTCCCTTACCGGGATATGAGAATTAAGTGTCAGGTAAGTACATGTATGCTCACGTTTTTATCATGATAATAAAAGTACTCTTACTCGTCCCTAGTACATGCCTCTTAGCAGTATTATTAGGCTTATTAGGCCTAGTACAGGTAGAAATACTCGATAAGGTATTCTGGAGTAGATACCCTTTAAGTGTGTTAAGGTCCAAGTGAGGTATCTAGCCCACTTTTCTGCGATACTATTAGGGCCCATATGGTCACGTGTAAGGCACTAGGTTATTGTTGCTACGCTGCCACTCTCTAGCTAGCTCTTCTTCTTCTTCTTCTACATAATTAACTTCTTCACTTCTTTTAGCTCTCTTATAATATAACTTATTAATTACATTATAAGCTCTTATAACCTTATTATAGCTCTCTTTTATAAGCCCTTATATGGTAATAATTATGCTTACCTACTCTCTTAATTAAAACATTAAAATTTTAGCGTTATAAGGCCTCTTAATCTTAGAGAAAAAACATTATTAACTTTATTAAAATCCATTAAATTTTATTCTTAAATTAAGCTAATCTCGTTTATACCCTTTAAGTTATTAAGAGAATTCTTCTTAATACTTACGCTATTAATACTTTATAGTTTAAGACCTTAAAGCTTTAATTATTTTTTAAATTAAGAAATTTTTTAATTACTTAAGTAAGCTAAGAAATAAAGATATATTACCCTTTAAAATTATAAATAAAGCTAAGTAAATCTTATCTTTAAATAAAGTTACTTAACTAAAAGACCCTTATATTATTATTACTCTTTAGTATAAATTAGTAATGTAATTTATTATTAACTTATTTTACTAGACCTTACTTTAATTATATTACGTACGTTAAAAATAAGCTATTAATAAGTTTACTTTTATACTTAAGTTAATGTAAGTATTAAATTAAAGTTATAGTTCTTTTCTTACTTTATTCTCTTAATAATAATTCTATAATATATAACTTTTCTCTATTAAGTATACTTAAAAAATTAACTTAAGCCTTTACTTTATTTAAGAAACCCACTTAAAAATACTCCCTTTAATTATAAAACGTTATAGCCTTCCCCATAATTAATAATATTTAAAGCTTAATATATTCTTACTTATAACTCTATAAAGTAACTTTTACACCTATTAGTTACTTATATAAAGTTATATTTAATACTATCGCGTTAATTGTATTAGTTAATTAACGTTTTATCATTAATTATTATTCTAAAACCCACTTATTAAATATTACGCCTTTCCCTATTAGTAGTATTAATAAATAACCTATTTATGCTATATAAGTAATTAACTTAAATTTAAGTTTTTAAACTTTAAATAAAGGTAATTTAACTTATATTACCTTAACTTATATTATAAATAAATTATCTTATAAAATCCTTCTTAACCTCTCTTTCTTATAAAAAAATTAATTATATATTAAATAAAGTTAAAAAATAAATAATAATTACCTTATCTTAGTTAATAATTAGCTTATCCTTATATTCTCCTTAAAAAGAGACTATTTTAAAGCTCGCTTATTTTATTCTATTAAGATTTAAGCTATTATATTAATAATTATACTAGAAGGTTATAGCGCTAATATTAAGGTGAAAATAAAGAAAGCCGTGCTTATTTACGTTTACCTTAATAATTACATTATAACCCTCTTAGTTTTTAGTAATTATACCAGTTTTAATTACGCTAGTTTACCTTATGCTATTATTACTAGATAAGAATATTACTTATAGATCTTTAATTTAAATAAGGCTTTAATTAAAATTAAAAAAGGCTAAGTTATTAATTTAATTGCTTTAGCTTATATTACTAATAGTTAATAGACTTTTATAATAAAGGCCTTCTTATATATCCCTTTAATAGATTTATTAGGAGATAATTATTTAAAGAAGAAACTCTTAAACCCTTACTAAAATAATAGGTACCCTTTTAGCGTTCTTATACTTAACCTAATAGTTAACTTTTAAGCGGCTAATATTTTTAATAATTAAGGCTTAAAATATTAAGAATAAGTGCGTAAAGTTTTACGTAAATATTCTTATAATATAATAGTAATTTAATTCCACGTTATATACCTTTTAAAAATTACTTACGTTACCTATCTTCTCGTTAAGATATTTACTTAAATAGATAATTCGCACGTACCTTTAAGGTAAACCTTCTCTTTTATAACTTTAAAGTAACTCTTATCTTAGCTTATATTAATTAGCTAGATTAGCTAGTAGGTAGTTATAGCACTTAAGCTATCTTAAATAATATTATGCTAGAATTACTCTTTACTCTTACCTTTAATAATTACTAATAGTTTAATTCCCTTAACTTTAAGTTAAAGGCGCGTTTAATATATAGCTTTAATTTATAAAAACGAAAATTATCTTAGCGTTTTTATAAAAATTATAATGTAATTATTATATAAGTAAATACCTTAAAGTACTCGTTTATTATTAAAGATACCCTTTCTCTTTAATTTTACATTAATTAAAAGATAATCTTATATATAAAAGCTAGTAATCTTAATAGCTCTTATATAGTAGTAATTATACTTACCTGCTCTCTTAGTTAAAACATTAAAATTTTAGTATTATAAGGCCCCTTAATCTTAAAGAAAAAACATTATTAACTCTATTAAAATTCATTGAATTTTATTCTTAGATTAGGTTAATCTCGTTTATACCCTTTAGGTTATTAAGAGAATTCTCCCTAATACCTATACTATTAGCACTCTATAGTTTAAGACCTTAAAGCTTTAATTATTTCCTAGATTAAGAAATTCCTTAATTACTTAAGTAAGCTAAGAAATAAAGATATATTACCCTTTAGAATTATAAATAAAGCTAAGTAAATCTTATCTTTAAATAAAGTTACTTAATTAAAAGACCCTTATACTATTATTACCCTTTAGTATAAATTAGTAATGTAATTTATTACTAATTTATTTCGTTAAACCTTACTTTAATTATATTATATACGCTAAAAATAAGCTATTAATAAGTTTACTTTTATACTTAAGTTAACGTAAGTATTAAATTAAAGTTATAATTCTTTTCTTACTTTATTCTCTTAATAATAATTTTATAATATATAACTTCTTCTTATTAAGTATACCTAAAAAATTAACTTAAGCCTTTACTTTATTTAAGAAACCTACTTAAAAATACTCCCTTTAATTATAAAACGTTATAGCCTCCCCCTTAAATATATTAAAAGATATTCCCGCTAAAAGTAATCTATTAGGTTCCCTTATAAAACCTAAAGGATTTTACACTTTAATAAACGTAATAGAGTTACGTTTAACTACGAAAAGAGCGAATATTTATTATATTAATAACTTACTATAAAAGTAAATCTAGACTTAATAAACTTTTACCTTAAGCTTTTAATTAGCTTCTTTTATCCCGTTATTAAATAACTTAACACCCTTAAATAACTCCCTATTACTTACTTTTACCTTACTATTAAGAAGAATAGCTAACCTAATTAATAATAAAGCCCCTTTAAAAGCTTTAAGTAAATAACGTTAGCCTATTAACGTTAATTTTTTAATTAA